GTAAAAAAAAAAAAAAAAAAAGCACAGACACCTGCCATTTTATCCTATTTGGGATGTTATTATTTTGCATTTTTTGATTATTGTTATTTATTATTATTTTGATTTTATGATTTTGCCTCAAAATATGCCACCTAATATTATCTAAATCAGTTTATTTTCTTTTTAGCTGCATTCACTCGGTTTAGTAATTTTTAAAAGTTGTTTATAGTTTAAAAGTCACTCAGAATATTCAATAATAAACCAAATACAATTCTAATGTGACATGGTATTTTTTATGATTATAAAACAATTTTATGCTCATATAAAGCATATTTATACTTATTTACCATAACATCTATATTTGATATTTTAAGTCACCGTTTATGATTATGCACCTTTCTATTTTATCATTAATCTATAGGATTAAGGTAACAGAGTATTTGATCACACAATTTACATTAAAGTGACAATGCAGTGAGCAGTCTGGCAGTAGTGCAACCATGCTAACTCAACAAAAGCTGCAAAAGATCAAAGGACGCTGTGTGAGTGAGAGAGAGTGACATATTAGGCAACAAAGTTGAAAGAGAATCCCCTGCACAAAAGAAAGATACGCAGGCGTTGCTTTTCAAGGAAGCAATGCCTTACTTTGGAATCTTTTCCCTTCAGTATAGCACTCTCTCCCAAAGCACATATGGCAAACATTCAGAGAGAGAAAGAGCGGAGAGAAAGCCAAAAATTCATGCAAGAATGAAGGCATAGCTCACACTGTGATATGTGTTTCATTTTGACATTGTTATCTGGGTCAGTTATATTTATGGGTATCATGGTGTTTTAGGGAAACGTGATTATGTATGTTCATTTTAGGTGACAAAGGGAAGCTGATATCCGGTTTCTGAGTGCATGGAGGGGGGAGTATGCATATTTGCATGAAGAGAAATTCTGTGCATGCTACAAAGTGACTGGATGTGTGTGACTGCACATGTTCTATCCCTCTAACTATGGATTTCTCAACAAAAGCTGCAAAAGATCAAAGGACGCTCTTACGTGTGAGTGAGAGAGAGTGACATATTAGGCAACAACGTTGAAAGAGAATCCCCTGCACAAAAGAAAGATACGCAGCATTGCTTTTCAAGGAAGCAATGCTTCACATTGGAGTCGTTTCTCTTCAGTATAGTGCTCTCTCCCAAAGCACATATGGCAAACATTCAGAGAGAGAGAGAGAAAGAGCAAAGGGAAAGACAAAAATACATGCAAGAATGAAGACACAGCTCACACTGTGATATGTGTCTCATTTTGACATTGTTATCTGGGTCAGTTATATTTATGAGTATCATGGTGTTTTAGGGAAACGTGATTATGTATGTTCATTTTAGGTGACAAAGGGAAGCTGATATCCGGTTTCTGAGTGCATGGAGGGGGGAGTATGCATATTTGCATGAAGAGAAATTCTGTGCATGCTACAAAGTGACTGGATGTGTGTGACTGCACATGTTCTATCCCTCTAACTATGGATTTGTAATGGAGCACTGTGATTGGATGTGGCTTATAGCAAGCAGTGCACTCTAGTGGCATGAAAGGACAAAAACACAAACACACAGTCAGAAAGCTTATCCTGTGTACATCATCACTGTAAAACATCAATAAATGTTGTAAAATAAAAGTTGTAGACCTAAGATTGTGCATGTACAATTGAGGTACAATGTCTTAATCCCATCTATGATTGCAATCGTTCGACACATTCACACAATGACTTGCTGCAGGCTAGTGCACATTCATTTAATTATTCCAGCATTGATATGGTGTATAATCGTGCTGTAATCTCATGTCTAAAAATAGCACGAATCCTCATGCGACCCTCATATATGGGACATTATGCCTCTGTGATCAAAACAGAGGGTTTCTGAGCCCTCTAACCTTCAGATAACCCCGCCCCCATCCCCTCATCCAAACCAAATGGCACTAACAGCGACTTCAAAGTCAATAGGCTTCCGGCTATCAGTTCAGCTTCAACAACAACACAAAAAAGGGTAGAAAGCTGTATGGGTAGATGCTTTATCTTGGTACCATTTTAAAAATGAAGGTTCTTTATTGGTATTGATGGTTCCATGAAGAATATTTAACATCCGCAAAACTTTTCCATTGCACCATAGATTCTTCAGATCATTCAAATATTCTTCACACACTCTTAAATATAAAGGAGGTTTCTATGCGATGCCATAGAAGAACTATTTTGGGTTCCCCAAAGAACCTTTCAGTAAACAGTTCCTAAAAGAACAATTTTTATGAAGAACCTTTTATGCATTTTATGCAAAGTTTCAGTAAAGAACCTCTATTTGGTCCTTTTAAGAAACTCATCACTGAAATGTTTTTGGAGAACCCAAAGTAGTTCTTCTATGGCATCATCACTGCATAAACCCTCTTTTGAAACCTTTATTTTTATGAGTGTAGCCCCTCCTCTGCCAAAACAGCCAGCAGTCTCCCAAACAATCTGTACCTGTGTCCATCAAAAGCTACTTAAATACCACTAGATGAGTGCCAGATTGAAGAATAAGAGGAAGACGGGTGGAATGAGTGCGAGGGGATAAGGATGGGTTTTAGCTGGACGATGAGGGTTGTGAAAAGAAGGGGGGTTGTTCAGACTGCAGCGAGCCAGACCCCCTAAAGCAGGGTTTAGCTGAGGCCTACAGGCCCAGGCAGACTCCTTTTAGCTCACGAAGTAGATTAATAATGAATTAAGGCATAAACCCTCCCCCCACCCCAACATACACATCCCCAAAAAGACATTCATGCATGCTAATGCATTCATTATTTATAATGTGTGTGCACGACTGGGGCAGGATGGCCACATCTGAGCCTGTGAGTGACAGAGAGTGCGAGAAAGAGAGATGAAGGGAGCACCCCCGGATGGGACTCCAAGGCTGGCGAGGAGACATCCGCCCATTGTGCAGCATCTCTAGGCTTCCCTGGGTTGGGTTTGGGGGGGGCAGGGATGAAGTGGGCAGCTGAGTTGTCAGGGGGAGTGGTGGATTAAACAAATAAATACAGGATAAGAAATGATCATGCTGGGGTAGAAGGGCTAAATGGAGACAAAGAGGCTAAAGGAACAAGCAGGGGGTCAGAGAGGGTTAGAC